TCCTTTTTTTCGGGGGGCCTCTCAAAGTGCTTCAAGGCCCCAAAGAAACTAAAGCTGTAATCGATCCCGGCCTCGTGCCCTTCTGGACAGCTCCGGCTTTCGAACCTGCAACCATTGATAGCTCTCTTTGGTCGAAAGAGATTGCAGACAACACGTCGGAAAGGTGCACTCGAAATGACTCCTCCAGCTCACACATCCCAGCAAAGCTAGGTTTGGGCTCCAAAGGAATTGCGGCCGAAATTGTGGCCGCGTGAGCACTTTTCTGTTGGGGTATGCGTTCGTTGCATCGAGGCCAGGCGGACCTTCTCATGCACAGGCGCAGCGTAGCTCAACGGGGCGCTGCAAACTCTAACCATGACTAGGATCCAGCACCACCAACCTCGTCTGCAGAATCCACGTTTTCCAAGGAAAGGATGCTGCAAGGAGCTGCCACGGTCGTTTCGAGAAACATTATAGGCAGGCAGAGATCATTCTTATCAAGCAGTGCTTACGGCAGGACAGACTACGACTTCTTTGACGGTTAACACAAAAGTCGTAGCGGTTCTGAATGCTGTACAACTATAAACTTGCTGAGACAGTTCTTTCATCGATACCTTGGGCGTTGTGCTGCTTGCTACCCATCTAAGAATGCTAGCAAATCAGTAGCTGTCGCCTGAAGCTGCTGCGACTTTTGGCCGGGCCTCCTCGTCGTTGCAACTCAGGCTTCTCAAGTTGTATGTATCATGTAAGTAGCAGCTGGCTTTCCACAATTACTTGCCATAGTGGCATTTTGACTGCCAACTGTTGCAGCCTCTGCTTTGCGTGCTCAAGGAGTTGTACTTGTGCGAGGTTAAGCTTGCAACTGATTCAGTAGAATGCTTGAATGGTGGGTTTGTCCAGATTTGTCGTGGCGACTCATGATTTGTATTCGCAGCGCGCCAAACTGCAAGTCCTGCGCGCACAAACCCTGCTGGTCTATTCGGGCCTGACAAGCACGTAAAAATGTGTGAATCGGGATAAATGTTCATTTTCATCTGCATTCAAGTACAGAACCTCAACCCTGCTCCCCCAGGCTCATCGGGGGCTTCATCTGCACCATCATCCCTATGCTCTTCACCAAACAGAAGTACCTACAGATCCTGCACCCCATCGAACATTAAAGACTGTCCGTTGAGCTCCTGCGCTGCCTGCACAGCCTGCGCTGCCTGTGCCGCCTGCACGGCCGCAGCTTGTGCCGCGACGATTCGCGCCCTCTCGCGCTCCTCGTGTTGTCTGAGAAGGTCTTAAAGCAGGGTTGCATGTGAGATTTCTGCAGGCTGCCGGGAACGCTGAAAGGAAGGCTTCACTTCCCATTAAGCTGAGATGGGGCCAGGATTCTGCGTCAGTTTCACACGCCGTCATGGCTCAAGGCAGCTGCCAAGCCACTTGCGGCAAGCCAGACATGGGCCCATGACAAGGAATTGCCCCAAACTGAAAACTGAGACAAGAAACCGAGCAGACAAAAAACAAACGACATAAAGCAGGGCGACAATCTGGACGAATGAGGCATCTTGTGCACCATGTGACAGACCAGATACACAACATGCGACATGTTGGGCAGAAAAGCCGGCCCTTCTTGCGGAAGACCTTTCCGGGCTATGTTCGCAGAAAGGCCATGTACGCAAGCAAATTCACCCGCTCCATTCATTCACACTGTGCCCTGTGCATGACAGGTGCAAGATTTTGGGGGCTGTACATACAGCTAGAAAATGGCAACTCACCGCATGTTCCCTGTCTCCGCTTAGTTTTGATGATCTACTTGAATATGCAGGCTGTACCCACTTCCTGTACTCCACATATTGCCCCCTAGAAGCCCTGTGCCCCTGTTTGGATTTAGAGGACAGCGTTGCAAGATTCTCAGCGCACCTGCTCTCGCTCTTGCCTCTCTCTGAGGCGCTTTTCCTCTTGCTGCTTTGCCTGCCCAGGGACCGCTTCAAACCGCCACCATCAAGTCACAATCATCATCATCATCATCATCATCATCATCATCATCTGCATCAACAACAAAAAGAAGCAGAAATATGCAACCTCAATGTCAAAGCTTCCAAAGGTTGTGCGTTCAGTCCATCAACTTCATGATTTCTTAGGATGACTGCCTGGCTCGCAAGGATAGGATAGAGGCTGAGCATGCTCCCTCTTCCCAAAGAAATCTGCCCTACGTCCTTCCAGCCGCCACTGCCAATATCATCTCAATATTGCGTTGGCGCTCAATGCTCATACGCATGAGCCTAACCCTCAGGGATATTCATCGTGCTTAGGCCGCTGTTGGCTGAAAAGGCTGTGCCTGCTCTGCCGCTCGAAGCGACTTGGGCTTTGCAATGTCTTCACCTGAGGCTGCACGGAGGAAGTAGCTTGGGTCCCGCGGAGTATCTGCTGAGGCTGCCTAGAAGCCATCCAGACAGTCGCACTTTTGCACTTATACAATGATTTCTGCCATGGTGCTGCCTGACGTGCTAGGCTGTGTTCGCAGTCTTCGTTTCCTGTTGGGCTCGCTTAGGCTTGAAGCCTTCGCATCCTTCAAACTTATACGATTACGAGGTGCTCCGCCCTCATCTTTCGCGCCAACAGCGGCAGGCAAACGAATGCTTACGGGCTGTTGTGTGCTCAGTTCCTGCTATGGCTGCTATGGAGAAGAAAGTTACCCGCTTAGTTTAATCTTAAGACTGCGGCATGTACCTTTGCACATATCTTTTCAAGCCGGGCACCGGAAAAAAAGTGCCATAAATTTGCCAGGTCCTGAAGTCCAAGGGACGCTTCTGGCCCAGGGCCAGGCGCTCGAAGGCCTCCCGCGCGCTGTCCGGAGGCTCGCCCTCCGTGGAGCCTTTTGGTCACGGACATAGGGTGTGGAGTTCAGGAATGGGGAATAAAATGGCAGGCTTTTGGGGTAGGGCTGCTGGCGGATTCAATCAAGGAACACAGGTCCAGGTTCATACATCAATCCTGTCTCAGAGGTTCGGGGCTTCCCATGGCACGGTCCAGGAAGCCTCTGCATCACTCCCTCCCCATCTCAATGTGTCTCTCCTGCTCTGCAAAGCTGTCTTTCTCTTGGTAGGCTTGTGTGTCCCACCAACCTCCGCCCTGAAATGCCAGCTTAATCCTGTAATGCTGCATGCAAGAGACGCGCAGTGGCGGCATGTGAGGCCACTGCCTGGGCTGTGCAGAGAGGTGGCACAAACCACCGTGCCCATGCAACCCAGAACATCCGGCCCCGGACTTTGCTCAGACCCACAGCAGGAGAACAGCGAAGTTAGGAAACTTACAAGTCAGGACGGACTGCTTGCCATCTCACTACCGGCATGTCGCAGCACATGCACATGGTCCTAGTGGATATCCCGCAGGGCACATGGCTGCAATACCTGAAGGGATCTGAAGCGCGTGAAGGGTACACCAATTCTAGACAGGGTGCAGCGACATGCTTTGCAGGGACTGGAGGCACCGTGCTGCCGAATGCAGTTGTCGGTCCTGCGAAATGTACCAAGGTCAGGTGAGTCTTTAAAAAATCCTTGCTTGTTTCTGTTTAATCTAGGATTGATATAGCAGAACCCACATGAACTGGCAAATGAACGGGCAAGGAGTTCGCAGTATAACAAGTGTGGGATGTAGGGACGCCTGGTGCTATTAAGCTGGTTTGCGTTGGCCCATGTGGAAGCTGATCCTCTTCGGAGGGCTATTGGAAAGGTCAAACGTTGTGCTGGAAATGTCCCCAAACCACGCGACTCTCGAACAGAAGGAATCAAGTCGAAATGCTGGCCCACACAGCTGGCTCACATGAAATATGCCCAGAAATCCAGAGCGGACCTGCCAAACTGCAAACTCAAGAATGCATCTACGCATGTTGGCGGACAGATGCTAAAACGGATCGATGTTTTCTGGGGGAAGACCCGTCCATTAGAATCCCAGCCCAGCTCCTGGCTTGCGCATGTGCTTAGCCATCGGTGGCCTTGTGGGAGCCAGGTCCGAGTGCCGGAAGAGCTCCTGCTTCTCCGTCTGGGTCTTGGGATTTATCGAGACGTCTATTGCGCGCAGGGTCAAGGTCTCGCAAGCTGAGCTCAGAAGCACGTTTAGGGCATGGCGGGTTGGCTTAAGTTTCCTATACGGTCAGGTATCTTCCACTTCAGACGGTTCAGTAAAGGTAGGGTTGAGGGCTCAAACCTCACTTGTACAAGGTGTGCACATCGCACAATGTTGAGCCCTGATGGCATGTCTTGCATTTTCTCTCGCAAGAACTGGGGGAGTGGGCACTATTGCTCGCCCATGGTCAGAGTTACCTGGAGGAGCATGCTTGCTGCTTGGTTTGACAGGTCGAAAGGTGGGTCGGCATGCGGCGGTGCAGCCTGCTTCAGGGGACGGCAAGAGAACCTCTGCGAGCGCCTTCGGCTTGACGTCACGCGCCCACGCATGCTGCACGGGGGTGAACAAGGAGCTGCCGTCAACCTCAGAACTGCTCAGACTTTAAAAATCATACACGTTGCAGGTGGGTCATAATGCTTCGAATACTGGTGCTGGGTTGTCATTGGGAATGCGCTATCATCACTTTGCACGTCCGAGCATTTTTCCTTGTTTACTACAGGCATCGAAGGCTGCAATCTCTAATCAAACTGACGTAGCATTTAACGCCTTGAGATCAGTCAAACACTGCGCCCCCTTCCAAAGACAGACGGCTTCTAATGCGAGGCTCTGGACAGTGGACCGGATAGAGAGGTTGTTGCAGATGGGACTGCAAATTCAAGCTGTGCGGCAAGGCTGCCATGCAATGGTTGGTCAGATATGGATGCACAAATAGCTTCTGTTTGAATCTACCAACTCCCATTCCCATGCTTCTGGTACTACCGCCAAAGAGCCCAAAGAAAGAACCTCGGCCTTGGCATGCTTTGTCTGCAAAACGCTCATTTTTTCATTTCATGGGTCGAAGAAGCTGCGCCAAGAGGAAGTTCTTCTTGAACTTGCCTTGGCTCGGGGCTACAGGTCAAGTCACCAGGACACTACCGGTGGAGCTTTTGGACTCGCATTTGGGCGGCATAAAAATCCGATACTGAAACTGCTGCCCGGTTGCAGACATCCCAGGGTATCCGGGACTTGCCATCGCGGCAATGGGCATCTGCCTTGGCATGCAGCAGATCTCGTATCACAACCTCATAGCCTCCAGCTGCTGCAAGATGGAGGGCCGTCGTCCCATTCATATCCTTGACAGCCGCGTCCGCCCGCTCTTTCAACAAGAACTGCACCACACTAGCATTACCCTTCTCTGCTGCCACATACAGCGCCTGATCAGTGTCCTCTTTGAGCTGTCGCGTGGAGCTACGTATGAGTTTCACGAAGTTCGGGTCAGATCGTGCAGCCGCCACGAGAAGTGGCACCCTGCCCTTTGGATCTTGGGCATGCATATCTGCCTTCTGGGACAAGATATATGAAACCATCTCCTCCGTGCTCGCTGCCAGTGCATAATGGAGCAGGGGCTGGCGGTTTTTGATCTTCAGGTCGGACCCAGCAGCGCCAGCCTTCAGCAGTGCATCCACGGACTCCACGCTGTCACTGGACACAGCGTATTGCAAAGACACCTTGCGGTTTCGATCCTGCTGGTTCACCTCGGCCCTGTTCTTGATTAGTTCCCTGACAACATCACCAGCCCCAGTGGCAGCAGCAAAGTGCAGGGCAGCCTTTCCGCCTCTCCCCACATGATTAACCACAGCTTGGGCCTCCAGCAGATACTTTACTGTTTCGAGGTGGCCGACAGCAGCAGCACCATGCAGAGGAGCTTCTGTCAGATCCGGGCTATTCACAGCAGCCCCATTCTCAAGCAACAGGCGCACCACTGCGCTGGAGCCAGCTGCAGCAGCCAATTGCAGGGCAGGCTTTCCTTCATCATCCACACCACGGTTGGGGTCTGCCCTTGCGTTGAGCACCAGCCGAACTGTAGGCACATGATTGACTGCCACAGCTGCGTGAAGAGGCTGCGGCACATCACCTGGTCGATGCACACATGCCTCTTTCTCCAGCAGTAGCTGAACTAAATTGTCGCGCCGGGAAAGCACCGTTGAGTCCAGGACTCTGGCCAAAACGTCCAGCCTGTCCAGCCCGATAACGCTCCATTCAATCGTGCTGATCTGGTGGATCTTCGACACGAGTGGGTACGACTCAAGATCACGAAGGAGGCTCGAAGCGCGTTGCTTGAGCTCTGCATGAGCAGGTGGCACAACAAGCAGCTGCAAGGTCTCAGGAGGCGCGGTCAAAGGAGTCCACTGCGTCAGTTCTGCATTCTCGTGCAGCAATGTGACCTGAGCACAGGGCCGTCGGAAACGTCTCCGGCCTCTGACATGTCTATCGTGCAACAACCATCTGTAAACCTGGCGCTTCCCTTAGAAGCGGAGAGCCTGGATGCTATCGATACCCTTCTGCTGCGCAATCTTCATGCGCAAGGCCGGAAGTCCGGCTGGATGCGCGGCAACTTCATAGCGGCCCACCTGCGCAGGTCTCACTTCATCTTACACCTCACAGCACGGCGTGAAGCAAGGCCGTGTGCCCAGAATTGATGTCACAAGCACGTCAGGAATGCGCTGTCCCGTGCTCTGTAAAGCAAGATGCAACTTGTGCCGCCAGGTCCAGTAGGCGAGTACTAGAAGAGATTGGGATTTGCATAAGTCTGCCATGATGCCACGGTTCTCCTTTCATGCAGAAGACAAACCAAAACACATGTGGTATGATGTCCAAATTGTGGTTCCTTCTAGGCCCCTGGTATAAATACTACGAACCCAAAAACCTAAACCGCCCCCAATATTTAGGGTACCCACAAAGACATTGTGCGCCTCATGATGTCCCCAAGCCAGCCCTAGCCCTCACCACACCAGCTCCGTGGGGAGGAGTTGGTTAGATTCTCTATAAACTCTGGGAAGCCCCGATGATTCTTCATTCTAGAGCCTACTATCCAGCTGCATATGCCATCTAATTCCCTCTATCAATCTTTCCATTATAAGTCCGTTGGAAATTCCTTCTGAAATTCTGAAGGACGCCTTTCATAATTGCTTCCGATGATACTTCCGGAAATGATTCCCTTTTCCTATCCCCATCGTCTAAGCAAGCAGCGTATGACAAAGCCCACAACCCATGTGGCTATGCTAGCTGCGAAGACCTAAGCCGGCTAAGCTTGCGGGCCGCCTACTTTGGTTCAAGCTCCTGCCTCCTCGCCGGTGGTGGCAGACTCGACTCGCACTGCCCATCGCATGAGATGCCGCGCCAAACCCTGAACCTCCTTAAGAGGGTAGGGGGACGGCAAGACACCTCCTTAGCGAGGAGAAGCTTAGATAGGTACATCTCCACTTGGTTCTAAGCATGATTCGAGGCGTTACTGGGCTGCAGCTCCATTCCGTCTCTCGTCATAGGTAAGGCTCATTCTAATTTGGATGCACATCAAGCTCGTTGAGAAGCGCAAGGAACTTACGGAATGGACAAGAGATCTGGATGTTGCAGAAGATTTGGGTAGACAGGTTCTCGCAGGAAATGTCGTCTTTCACTTCAGGCTTAAAGGTACGCGTTTCCAGCCCCAGGCCGAAGCTTTTTGAGCCAAGCCCAACACATTTAGATGCGTGCAGGTCAGGGCATGTCAGGGCACGTATGCAACGCACAACTGCTCAGATCTTTGGCAGAAGCAAATCTTGAGAGAATAATGTTGCACTGGCTTTAGCGAAGAAACCTTGAATTTGTTGGGAAGACCTTGAATAATGTGTTTTGGTTTTGGGGCCCTAAAAATGTGGGACCGAATCCGGACCATCCCTTCTAAAGAAATCCCCAAGGCCTCCTGAGGCCCTCAGTACTGTAGGAGCCTTATTGAAGACGCTTAATTTCTAATTTTCCGGACCCCCTATTGTTAGGAGCGGGGGGGGGGCCTATAGAGTTTAAGGAAGGTGCAGCATTAAAAGAAAGGTTTCTTAGCAAACCGCCATGGCATAAGCAAGAGCATTCGAAATCCCGTTATATGCAGCCTACCCCCATATTCCAATTCAGACTGTACACGAAGCCATCCACGAGTCCGAAACAGAGCTCTCGCCGTTTTAGCCTTCCACGAAACCTTTGAGGCCTTCAGTATTCCGAATCCGCATACCCAGGATGATCCGTTTGATGCCCAGCCGCTGCAACACTGCTGGCGGAGCCGCGGTCAGTGCTCGCACTTCCTGCAACTGTCTCACTTGATAATCGGCTGAGGATCACGATACCGCAGCATAAAAAAGCCCGATCCTGGATGGTGAACCCTTCCCCATTGCAGAACCGCTCTGCGACCGTCATCCCATACACGCTCTTGATACCATCCAGAACCTCCGTGACCCCAGCACAGGTGGGCCTCGATTGACGCTGCTGGGCGGTTTGAGCATTCGTGGTGCGGAGGATGCCTTGCTGCAGTCAGGCTTTAGGTTTCAGGCTCTGGGTGTAGGGCTTGCGCCGTGCATGGGCAATGGGCACAGGTTAGGTGAGCCTTACTTACGGAAGGAACAAGCTTGTAGCGTGCATTGGGTCCAAACTACTTTGACAACATTTGACGGGAGACCCCTGCCAGTTCCGCCTAGATCAAAATCATAGAAGAGGACTAGCTGCCGAATTGCTGATGCTTCTCCAGCTCTACGACTCTAGTACTGGTATCCCTTGCAGACGACGACAGATTGCGAATTCTAAAGAAGAACGCATTGCTCGCGAATGTGGTGGGTGCCTGGCCCCTAGCGTAGCACCTAGAGCCACACAAGTCTGTTGTGTTGGATATCATGGTTCCAGCAGTTTGCACCACCCTCGGCTGGAGGGAGCATGAAGTATAGTCCCCCTTAAGTAGATAGAATATGGCTTTGGGTATATTATGATAGGATCCCCATGTACCCTATACATTCTATCTACTTAAGGGGGACTGAAACCCCAATATATCCTAATATATGGTCAGGCGTCTGGCGTTCCTGGCCCCCAACCCCCCTGGTGTGGTCTGGGAGGGGAGGGGCCATGAACTCCGTGACTGTCGTCGGTTTTAGCACTTTGCAATCGCAACAGTGCCAACACTCACAGGGATTGGGTGTCTGGGACGTGCAATCTTCGTGACTGTCGCCACTACTGGACTCTGACTCTGTGTACAAGATTGAAAATTTGCTGACAGTCACAGGGATGGGCTAGTTTGCCGCACGATCCTTCGGGCTGTGGTGGATGTTGGTATTTGAACGTTTCTAATATTCCACCATGAAGCTCATGTCTCCTTCTAAGACCCTCTGAAAACCTCAGAAACACTGCGCAGGCTGCATAGGAATGATGATCCATGTGAATATCTACACATTTATAGATAATCCTATTTCATCAAATGAATATCTTCTCTCATCCCCATGCCATATAAGCTTAGAAATGGCTTACGTAACTCCTCCATTTTAAAGACCCACACCCACCCACACCCACAGGAGAGAGGGGAAGACCTCAAGTTATGTCTTTTCTGTCTTTTCATCCCACCCAACGCCAACCACACCCACAGAGGGGCACAGCCACCCCCAACCACACCCACTCGGGAAGAAAAGGTCTCCCTCAACCCCCAACCACGGCCACCCACAGGGGAGGGGGAAGGAGGCCTAG